TAGCACCTGTGGTGCATCGCCACGGCCCCTTGCACTCTTCCCTCCCCTGTTCTGACCACTGGCTCCCTGCTTCTCCCTGCTGTGGGCCTCCCTGCTGTGGCCAGCCTCCCTGCAAGAGGCTTGGGAGGGGTGGAGAGATATCTGTTCTTCCCATCACCCTCTGCTCCAGCCTGGGTTCCCCCTTGGAGCAGGAAGAAGGTGACTGGGGTGGGGGGTGGGGGGAGGCGGCTCATCTAAGGTGACCCTTATGTCACACTGCAGAAAGGTGCAATCAGTTACAAGGGGCTAAACAACAGCAGAACTCAGACATATTTCTCTAAATACATCGAGTATCACGACTGTGAGTTTTAAGCTGATTATACCTGAAGCCCAGAGTGAGTGCGTGGTCTAATGCCATTGTTCAGCGAGTGCCGTTAACTGTGCCCATCTGCAGCTTCCAGTGTTGGGTAGATTAAACGGGCTGGGAGTTTGTGTTTAACCGAGAGAATGATTCAGCCTGGTGCCGGATAATAACTGCTTGTCGGTCTCCCAGGCTGGAGTGTGTGAGGGGGCGAAAGTCAGATCCTGGGGAGTGACCTTGATTTCTAATGCGCTCGCAAGCCACAGGGCTGTGCTCACTGGGTCTTAGCGCTGTTCCTAACCTCATAGAAGTCTGGGAGTGGAAGAACCCTGGAGAGTGTCCTGTGGGCTAGTCACCAGTGTCTGGAGGTGCCATTGCAGTTACACGCTGTTGCAGTGCTTCCTTACTGAAGACTGTGCTATCTCCAACCCGCAATACTCGGGAAGACAGTTAAGGCTGAAGGAGGGACTGAGTGATTCATTTGCTGAATGTGTTGGGTGGTGCCCGCCACTGAAAGCCTTTCTGAGTGACGGTTACTTGGGACTTGAGTCATTTTATGAACGGCTTTGCTTGCGGGCCGCGCGCCTTCATTCCAAGAAAACAGCTCCATTTCTTACCTATTGAAAAGTGGACAGGGTTCGTTTTCCAAGATCACCTTTTTCACCGAACGTAAGCTTTGCTCCTTTCTCATTCTGTCCTTCCACTTTGGATGACATTTCCCTTGTGTTAGGCCTGGGTGGGGAAATCTGTAAGGACTAACTTCTCAGTTTCTCCTTAGGTGTTTTTTAACGACCCTGTGTCTTTTAGACCCTGAAGTTTTTTTTAACTCAGCATCTACAAGTGAGGAGGAATTGTGTGTGTGTGTGTGTGTGTGTGTGTGTGTGTGTGTTTATACACGCACACGCCCAACCAGGGAAATGTAGTTTCTTCCCAGACCCTAGCATGGATTCTTGAGATTCAAGTATGTTTAAGTCACATTTGAGAGAAAGGAAGGACATGACTCATGAGCATGACCAATAGAACTGGAGGTGTCCCCAGTGACCCTGTGCCTGGCTGGAGCACACAAGCCCCTGCGGCCGGGATCGCCCTGTGGACGCCCTGCGAGAGCCGCCCGCTGCCTGCCCCGCGGGGGTTCCCCTCCTGTCCCTCTCCAGCTCTTTCATGATGAGCAGCCGCCAGTTGTGCTGATTCCGAGAGAGGAAAGGCCAGGTGCTGCTACTCCCTCGGTGCCGCTGCTGAGGGGATTGATCGCTGCTCTGCGGAAGACTAAGTCCTTTACATCCGGCCCGCTATGCCCTGGCAGTCTCATACTTACTCTTGACTTGGGAACAAACTGCACCCTGTTACACAGCCACGAAAGCAGGGTTGGCCTCCCCGCCAAAGGTGGCCTCCCACTGCTGCGTAAAGGCCTCAGTCCCATGTGTCTTTGCACGATGCTGTTGCCCTGCAGAGCAGGCCTGGCTGGCCCGCTGGGGAAGCCTTTTGTTGGGCTGACCCTGCCTGGTGTCCCCCCAGACTGGCGGGTCTCCTCTGCAAGTGCTCTTCCAGCTCAGGAATACTGTTACCCTGGGGATTTCATGACATTGGTCAAGAGAAACAGAAGTAGGAAAATTGCCCTTGAGCAGAAAGGCGCCATCCACGCTGTCAGATACAAGTGACAGACTCCACTTCATCCTGCTGTCCTGACATCAGATTTCCCGTGGCGTGTCAGACAAATGAGTACCTGCCAAGTCACCGCCGTGAAGATTAGCCAGGAGGGCATTTTCCATGATTACAGCTTGCCCCCTCATTTCTTTCTTCTGGGCGATGACTGTGTTTTCCTCGATCAACACTGGCAGCTGCGAGACCTGGAGTTCTTTCTTAGTGAATGGTCAGCTGCCCTCCTCTTCTCCCTGGCCAGGCCCTGTGTTTCCTGGGCAGTTGCATTCTCAGCAGGAAATGCCCCGTGACCTTGAACAGCCCAACAACACTTTCTCCCTCTCTGCCTCAGTTTCCTCTCTCTAGAAGGTTAACAATAGCTTATTGTTAATGGCGTGAGGATTTAGTGAAATAAATGTGTGCGTGCAGCCAGGCACTGTGGCGCTGTCCACCAGCGTCGATTGCCTGCGTGTGCCGCCTGCGTGCCAGGCGCGTCCCAAGTCTGGGATGTGGAGAAGAGCCCTCGTGGCACTTCGGTCCAGGAGAGGATGTAGGCGTTGGTTGGATAGTCACCCAATTTTTTATGCGGCCTAGCACTAGGAAGAAAAATCACATAGACCTTCACTAGCCCTGACTGATCAGAGGACATCGTTCCACAACATCTGATTGGAGATAAGAAGAAAGAATAAGCCGTAACCAAGAGAAAGAGAGATCACCCTCCCCCACCCCCCACCCTCACTCTAAGGTACCTTTGAGTAAATTCTAAGAAGGTGCCCCCACCCTAAGGGTGATGTGGCCCCCCCAGGAGCCTAGCTTAGAGAGCAGGCCGGGGCTGGGTCTCAGCCTCCTCTGGTCTGTATGCCTGTGTCCTTGAGCCGAGATCAACCCTTTTAGCTATGTGCAGTCCCCCTGGCTGGAGGTAGAAGGTACTAGAAGCAGAGGCCCGTTTCCATCAGTAATGACACTGAGGAGGTTAAAGGGCTGACAAGGTGTATGATAAACACTTCAGATAGTCAGTTCCAGCATACCAAGTTTTCCAGAGAAATTCCAAAGCCTCTATAAGCTATGGGTTTTGAACTAGTGAAGGAGAATTACTTTAAGGATGTGATTTGTTTTTTCCTCTAAAGATTTGTTTGTTTATGCTTTTGGAACTGGGGTGCAGGCCAGAGGCACAGGGGGTGAGAGAATTCACCAGAGACAGAGAGGGGAGCAGAACAGGAGGACTGGCTGAAACACACTGCTGAGGGGAGCAGCGGGTGGGTCAGAAGTCTGCCAAGCCATGTGGGTCGCCTCCGGGGATTGAACTCGTGCTGAAGGGGCTTCAGCCAGTTTTATGGTAGCGCTGCATTTTAACCCACTGCACCACCAGGGAGGGCCCAGGGATGTGATTTGTTGGTGTCACACAACTGAGGTAGATAGGCGGATTGTGGATCAAGAGCAATGTCTCAGTGTGGAGAACAAGGAGCCCCGGGTACCTCTAATGGCAAAACTCCAGGACAGAACAGAAAACCAGATACGAGGCTAGAAGTAAGAAAGAAAACAGAATCAAGACCCAAAAAATAGCTACCACATCGTGCAAATCAAAATAGAAACAGAACACTCTGGAAAGGTTTCTAACAATGCTATCATTTTGAGAGTGTTGTTATCTTGCCAAGAGATAAATGGAGGATCTCGGTGACTGGACCTCTTAGGAAGGACCCGCCCACCCTGAGACCCAGAATTAGGGACAAGGGGATACTCCCTCCCTGAAAATAATCTTGATAACCTCAAGGTTTCTCCCTGGCTTGAATTACTTTGATTCTGCAGTGATGCAAAAGAATATTCGTTCATTCAAACAAATACACCATGTTTTTGGTGGTGGTGATTTAAGTTAAAGGCTGTTGGGAAAATAAAGCTCCCAGATCCTGGAGAACCCTGTGTTCATGCCAGTTAGTGCTGCAGCCTGTGCCATGCTGGGCATCTACAGTGCTTGCCCCATTGAGCTGTGGTGCCAGCATGGCATGGTGGGGAAGCATAGGCTTTGGGATTGGGTGCGGGTTCAAGTCCTGATGCGACCACCGGCAAGCTGTGTGACCTGGGCAGGTGAATCAACCTCTCTGTGCAGTGGGAGTTGCTGTGAATTCAACTGATGACTGTCCAAGGCAGACTCTAGCCAGGGCGCTTGGGAATCTTGGGAGTCCTTCATTTGCAAACTCATTTCTGGGGCTCCTGCCCTGGGAGCAGCCTCTAGAGGACGCACTTCCTTTCTGAGGTTTGACTCTGTACTTTTTCTAGAAAGTCTTGACTCTTGCTTTTCACAGGTAGCTGTGCTTTAGGGAGGCCTAGGAAGCCAGCCCAGTCACAGAAGATCTTGTCAGCAGGTAATATCTTTATAAAACTTGCCTGGGAAGTCACAAAGAGAAAAGAGATTTAGCCATGATCTGTTAGCGTGGTATCGATGGTGAGGGATTCTGTCAGAATCGGAAAAATCCTCCAAGAGCAGACACTGCCGACTGACCCAACGTTGACTTGAGATGTAGCGGCAGAATTGAACTTAAAAATATGCTTGAATTCAGACCACATGAAACTAGAATGCACACTGGTCAGAGATAAATGCCAATATTTCGCTCGCAGGAATGAGACAGAGTTGAATAGCATTTCCCTTCAATAGCAAGTTGGATAAAGGACCCTTTATTAAGTCACAGCATCATGCCCTCTGGACGGTCCCTTCTGCTCTGTTTCCTGCTTTATTGTCCACACAGCTTTATGTCAATAACATGCTGCGCTGACAGGAGTGACAGTGTGATCGGCTTGAGCCCCAGAGGAGAGCAGGCTCACAGCGATTTATGTGATTAAAGATTAAAACCCACCTCAGATACCAAAAAAAAAAGGTGCTAACTCAACCATAAACGTTTTTATCAAAAATGACATCGTGGCTTACTAGGATGAGAATGGATGAGGCTCTTAATCACTGAGGTCATTGTGTTGGCAAAAGCGGAAGGGCAGATTCTCACGAGCTCATGGCCATCTCGTCTCCTTTCAGCCCACGACTGCCAATCCCGCTGTCTCTCCTGCTGACGGAAGAAGCCGCTGCGGTTACCATCCAGTCCTTCTGGAGAGCCTATCTGGTACGAGTCTTGTTCAGTGATGGCGTTGAGCTTGATGGGGAGGACCCCTCGGGGAACCCTCAGATGAATCTGAAACAGGGCATATTCCAGTTAAACATGTAGGATTCTCCATAAAAAGGTCTCAAAGCGGGGTTTGGAATTTTTAACAAGATGTATCATGCAGTAATATTTAAAAGTGCCCTCTGACCTTTTAAAGGTTAGGAAAAAGATAACAAAGAACAGGTGGTACAAATATAAATAATAAGATGTAGATTAACTACACTAAATACGCTAGCTAAAAGCTCCAATTCAAAGACAGAGATTACTAGTTTGAATAAAAAACCCAAGTACGTATTGGTGTTAAGAAAACCACTTTAACTCAGTGATGGGAAACCCACGGGGATTACACTTGAGATGAAAAAAAAAAATGTACAAAATGATGTAAAAACAAACTGTTATATTATTAAAAAAAAAAAAGAAAACCACTTTATATATTGCCTAAAAGTAATATTACATACATAGAGCAATACATGTTCATTTTAGGAAAAAATAGATCATTCAGATAAGCAAATAAGGAAATTCTGAGTAACCGGTAAGTCTGTCATCTGAAGATAAACATTGTTAACATTTTGGTATAAAACTTTCCACACCTTGAAAGTCTTAATAGCTAGAATAATGTGTAAATACTTAACACATAAAAAATAACCTTTTCTTTTAAGACTACTTGTTTCTAACCATCTTCGTGGTGGTGGCTTTTGGTTGATTGTTGTGATCGATGCTGTAATATACTTGTCTTTGTGTGGGCACCCTGCACCTTGTCTGCTTGCTTATGAGGGAGGGATTCTAGAAGCGGAATTCCCAGGCCCAAAGGTAGCTCCTTTGGAAAGCTCCTGAATCATAATACCCTGGGAGAAGGATCCACTTTCTAAAGTTCTCACCAAATACACCTGAGAGCAGTGTGCGTATCACATGTGTTGAAAAGAACACTGCCTCTCCCATGACTGGGTGCCTGAGAGCACCAGGGTTAACAGATGAGGCTGCTGGGTGAGGCACGGAGTCCCCGTCGGAGGGAGCCTGGCTCCATCCTTGAGGCGCTGCGGACTTCAGAGAAAGGAGTTTTGACTGAGTATCAGCAGTGACAGACATTGCACAGGAAACCCATTGGCCGGTGGATGCGTGCGGAGGCCAGAAACCTCCATGTTGCTGCGTGTTCAGAGCTAATGTTGGAGTAGACTGAGGTGAACACACGGGCAGTTACTGCCAAGAGGTCAGATGCATGTTAATGCACGACCATCGGTGAGTGAGTCCAAGTGTGTTTGTTACATGACCCTAACATGGGCAGTCCTTGAAGCAGTATTGCCCAACCCTTCTGGACATAGCACAGTACTGAAAACTGGGGTCAAAGTCAAGTGTGAATGTGAAGTAATAGGAACATTCAGATCCCCAAAATTCCAAAGTTCTTTATTAAACCATGGTTTCGAAATAACTGCGTAGGCTTTTAGCGCTTCGTATGTACTTATAAATGTGGTCTTTTCCCATTATAATTGAATACCAGTGGGTTCCTTAAGTCCAGTGGACTTCTGCAAAATCCGAAAGTTTCAACTCCAGACAATTACATCAAGTGAATGCAAAGTTAGCCCACAAAATGGGAGCAATAGCTAAACTTAAGGAGCTAATATCCACAACCTACAAAGAATTCTTCCCATCTAATAAATAATCCACAAAATTGACAAGGGATTTGAATACCCTGCTCTAAAAAAATACATACACAAGGTCAATGAACCCAGGAAAAGTGCCTCAGTCTCATTTATTATTAGGGAATTCCAATCAAAACCACCATGAAATACAATTTCACTCCTACTAGCCTGTCTAATTAAACAAAAAAAGATGATAACAAGTGTTGGTGAGAGTGTCAAGATCTTGGAACCATCACACACCTCTGGTGAGAATGTGAAATGTGTAGTCACTTTGGAAAACAGTCTGGCAGTTCATCCAACTATTTATCCTATAGTTAGACCAGCAACTCCACTCCTGGATGTGTATTTAAGAGGATTAAAAACCGCTGTCCACACTCTCGCTCATACCTGAGTGCTCACGTTGGGAAGCATTATTCCCAGCTCCCCAAATATGGAGACAGTTCAACTGGTGAATGAAACAGTACCCCTACAGGATGGAATGCTATGCAGCCACGAAAAAGAACAAAGTACTTGCACATACCAGAATATGAATGAACCTCAAAAACATTACTCTTTAAGTAGAAGAAACCAGACAAAATGGCCACTTATTGTAGGATTCCATTTTATTTCAGAATAGGTAAGTTCATAGACAGCCCTACATTAGGGGCTTTTGGGGACTGGAAGAAGAAGACTGCTCATGGCTCTTTTTGGGGGTGGATAGAGATTTTCTGGAATTAGGTAGTGGTGATGGTTGTACTACTTTGTGACAACAATAAACACTGATTTATAAACTTGAAAGCTGTGACTTTTATGATATGTGTATTCCCTATCAATAAATTACCAAACGTAAATGTTGCAGAAAAAAATAATATGAAGCAAGCCTTTCTATTCTGTTTGACTATGTGTCCTTCTGCTACAAGTTCTTGACTTGGTTTGGTCAGTGAGAGTAAACATCCTATAACTAGATAAAGGGATTCCTAAAATTTACAGATTTTTCTCACACCCAACATTTTTACAGACTCTTTACTCACTCCCATGTCGTTTTTTTTTACTACAAGTTTTTAAGTATTTTTGAAACATTGATTTGTACTTTCTTAAACACCATATGGGTAAATATTGTCTCCCACAAAATTATCTTGTGTGGTAAAAGCATACTAATATAAAATGGGCCATTTGGACCCATTTATGTGCGCAGTTCAGTGACATTAAACCCATCCACATTGTCACCATCATCCAGATCCAGAACTTTCTCAAGGAGAACTGTGTACCCACTAGACAAAAACCTCCCTGTTTTTCTCTCCCCCCAGTACTGCCCTCCACCATCCCCCCTTTCTGTGACTTTGACTTCTCCAGATACAAAGTGTCCCACAGCCAGACCACCCTCATCCTTTGTGTCTGGCTCCCTCACCCAGCACAGCGTCCTCCAGCTTCAACCAAGCCATAGCGGGTGTCAGAACTACCTTCTAAAGACTAATATTCTTGCCAGGAAGTTTTAAACTCCAGACATCCTTACTTGTTATCGTAAAACTAGCCAGACATCTCATAAAAATATATTTTAACTGACTACATTAACAGAAGTATCACATGATATGAAAAGCTATTTGTGGAAAGCCTTTCTTGGTAGCTGTGACTTTATAATTAGCAATATAAATAGGTTCCTGCTAGTTATTACTCCATATTAAGTACTTCTGTGGAAGAAAACACACTCTTTCTTCTTTCAAAATACTAGGTTAATGGTGAAAAAGCCAAATGGCTTCAGTGTGCAGAAGTGAATGATTCAAGCAAAAACCCAGCTGGATATCAGAAAGGATGTGAAGGTCTCCTTCCTAAGTGCTGTTGGCAAGAAGTGACCATGATGGGCAGGACATCCAAGTCTGGCCAGTCCCTTCTAGGTATCCCATTCACTTCTGGGCACTTACCTAAAAGAACTAAAAGCATGGACTTGCATGGACACATATGTCCATAGCAGCATGATTCACAATGGCTGAAACGTGGATGCAACCTTAGTGTCCACTGACAGATGAGAAAATATGGTAAGTGCACATACAATGGAAAATTATTCAGCCCTAAAAAGGAAGGAAAAATTAGACAACATCAATGAACGTTGAGGCCTTTGTGTCACAGGAAGTAAGCCAGTCACAAAAAGACAAGTCCTGGGTGATCGTACTTTAAGCAGTACAACCATAGAGGCAGAAAGTGGAAGATTGTCAGACTGATGGGAGGAAGATGAGTTAGTGCTCAATGGCAAAGAGATTTAGTTAGGAGTTTGGGGGTGGATGATGAGAGTGGTTGCAGAGGATTTCAGATGTATGTCATGCCACTGGACATGTATGCTTCGAATGGGTCAAGGGCGTAAATTTTATGTGTATTTTACCACAGTAAAAAGAAGAAAAGAAAAAGAGAACTGGGTATTCAAGTGTTTTAATTTGATTGAACTTGATTTCTTTCCTGAGAGTTACTCCTTTCTACTTAGAGCTGACCTATACCGTTTGTAGACAAGGGATGATAAAAACAGCCAGGCTACAAACAAGCAACTATGAAAAGTCTCTTCAACGACTATCAGGGAAAGAGTTTTCAGTTCTTCATATTCTTCTGGAAAAAGCAAAATTTCCAATTTTAGCCTGGGCACTTTGAGAAAAGTTTTCTCTACTTCAGGCAGCTGGCTGAGTGGGTAGGCATGATAATTTTTCACTTAAAGTTCTCATAATTAGCCTTGATTTGCTTGTTCTTGAATGTTCTAACTGAAAAGAAAGTCTTGTTTGTTGGTTGGTTGTATTTTTTTATTATATTTATTATATTACATTTTTACTCCTTCATTGTTATAGGTTCCAACTCAGGAGAGTGGATTCTTTGCCCTTGTAGGGAAAGAATTTATCAGAGAGCTCTAGGTGTAGTTGAGCCAGGCAAGCCTTCCTTACAGACTCAGGCATGAGGAAGCCAGTATGGGAAAGGTGAATAGAGCCTGGCTCCTTGAAGGGAGTAAGAAGGTTTTTAAAGGGTAAGGCCATGAGGCAGAGGTGAGAGGAGCAGTACCGGGCTCGTTCTGGGTTGGCTTCCACCTGGTGGTGCACAGATTCCATTCTGATACAAGGGAAGGTTCTCAGCTTTCTCCCTCCGGAAACTGTGAGATAATCATCCAGGACCTAAGACTTCCTATCTATTATGGTGCCTCATGGCCGGTGTGATAGGCCAAAATGTTTGGACAGGGCTTGTCAGCCTGTGATGTAGTCCACCTGTTCAAACAGGACCTGGGGCAACTGATCCTGTCGGCTTGTGATCTCATTTACATCAGCTGTCTCATCATATGAGCATGTGTTCCAGTCACCCTCCACCAAACCCCCCATG